TCAATAAATGATAAATATTTTTAATAGTTAATATGTTGGGCAAAGATGATAAAAGATGGAGGGTGTTTCTGGGGCAGAGGTTTAAGGAATTGGATGGGAACCTGGAAAGGAAGAAATGAGGTAGAAGGCTATGAAAACAGTATTTGTTTAAAAAACATATAGACTAATTAGATGAATTTTTGTTAACTTGAACACTAGTATAATTACTTCTAACAACAATAAATAGTCTTTTTAGAGCCTCTACATTCACTTAGGAAGGCATTTCATTTTGATCCAGTCAGTATCTATTAAAGCTTAGTGAATAAATATTTAGTAACAGAATCATTTTTTCTAAAGCTTATAATCCCCTTTCTTTCCCATTTTAATCCAAGCAAATAAATACATTTTCTAATTATACCATGCAACAATGATTTATCTGGAAGCCCTGTTATATGAAAATGCATGCCTAGCCAGATGTGTTTAGGGCGTATTTTGTTGGAGTTGGCATAAAAACTCCTCCAATCTCAAAAAATTCTAGGGTTTGTAGCAACACACTCAGAAGCATTTTTCCTGGAAGTTGCCAATCTAAGCAGCTGTGGCTGATCATAATCCACAGCAAATCCATTGGGCAAATGTATTTATTTCTTCCAGGTTGACAGGTAATGGGGACAACAAAGGCACTCCGGAAACAATGACCTTCGAAAACTGCCTTTGCTAATACAGTGTCTTGGGATGACAGCCATCAGTGCTGGCTTTGCAGCCTCTCCACCTCTGCTTGGCTGAGTCAGATGCCTTCCCTTGGCCTCAGTCAGTAGGAGGTGGCAAAATCTGGAGGCACTTGTGACCTAGTACCACCTGGGTGCCACCTACTGCTTTCCACCCACCTTTGCTGTGGGGAAGGAGGCATCTGAGGGCAGCACTTTCATGCACTTCTGGTGGAAAACCTCTCTTCCAACAATCATTGTTTGACTCTTTGGCATCATAAATCATGAATGCATTTACATATTAAAAACAGAAGTATGTAAAATGCAGTTTCATGATTCCTAGAATAATCTTTATACTATAAATGATCAAAACATGATGAGGCAGGTAGCAAAATTTTAATGCTAATAAAAATAATAAAATTATAGATAGTGCTGATTTATTTTGCTATTATTATATGTTGAATACTGTATTAAGCACTTACAACTAATCTCATTTAGTCATTATAATGTACTGGTGAAGTAGGTGGTATTATACTCATTTTTCAAATGAAGAAAGACATGCACTGAAAGAGGTAAAGCTAAGGTCACATAGCTAGTAAATACATTAGTCATGCTTAAACCCCAGGTCTACTGACTTTGAAGTCTACATTGCATGGCAATGACTCTCATGTTAGGCCCTGTACCACTAATAACATTAGTAATGAATAACCTGGAAACTCTGTACATTGCTTTAAAATGGGTTCATTAAAACTGCTTTATCTATTTCATGGGAGATTATAAGTATTAAAAGGCATAAACATTTTGAAAGTCCTTTGAAAAAAGTTAAAATCATATGTACATATTTGTAATAATATATATACATATACACATGGTGCCCTATTTATGATGGCTCAAATTAATGATTATTTGACTTTATGATGGTACAAAAGCAATACGCATTCAGTAGAAACCATGCTACGGTATTCAATAAATTACATGAGATGGTCAACACTTTATTATAAAATAGGCTTTGTGTGAGATGATTTTGCCCAACTGCAGGCTAATGTAAGCATTCAGAGCATGTTTAAGGTGGGCTAGGCTAAGCTATCACATTTGATAGGTTAGGTATATTAAATGTGTATTCAGTTTATAGTATTTCCAACTTACGAACATTTATCAGGATGTAACCCCATTGTAAGTCAAGAAGTATCTGCAAATATATTCAATATAAATAAAGAATACACTTATGGTTTAAACATAAACAGCAAATAGGCACAGAATGGTATGTGGAGAAAGTATTAAACTGGCAATCTGAAGACTTGGATTTTCTCCTCAGATGTAGGATTTGGATATGTCACATCTCAACACTCACTTGGGAAATGGGGGAGATACTTACACTTAATAAACGAAGAATTTTCTCATCTAAAGATTGTACATACAGTATGTCACATGTTTGTATGTATGTATATTATTATTTATTTAATAATTATTTATTTTCTACTTGCTTATTGCTTTTGTACAATCATATACTCCAGAATTATAAATTATAGAATCTCAGAATTAAAAAAAAATTTGCTACTTAGAAATTTACTTCTTTATCTTGCTTACACAGTTATATAAAATGAATATGTACTTTCTCATTCTAATATATTTTAACATTTGTAAATGAAATGCTAAATTACTTAGTATTTCTAGCATTGTTTAGGAAAAACAGCAGTGACAGGATCAAGAATCAGCAGACCCGACTTAAAAATTCTCTGTGTTCAGAAAATAAATGCTTACTTTATGACGCATATGCCAGCTTATTTTCTGCAGTATTGCTTCTAACAGAAAACTTTTGGAAACAATACAAATTATTAAATTGATTAAGCTTGTCATTCACTTACTGAAGTATTATGCAGCTCTAAAGAATGATCAGCTATTCTTTATTAAAAAGTGAAAAGATATACAGAATTTAAAAAAACAAGGATCAGAGTATGCATATAATATTCTATTTCTTGAGTAAAAAGCTGGGGGGCAGTATTTATGTTTGTATTTGCTTGTGTAAGCCTAAAGAAACATCAGATGAACAAATAAGAAATTAATAAGAGTGGTTTTTATGGAGCAGAGGCTGGAAAGACCCAGAAAGTGGCAGACAAGGGTTAAAGGTAGCTTCACTATACTCCATTTTACACTTACTGCTTTTTCAGTCAGATTGCAATTTCTACTTAGAAGTTAAAAAAATTCAAATGCTTAAAAAAAAAAAAGGTGAATGCTTTAAAGGGGTATTATTGAGAATTTAAAGTTCTGAATCAGATTGCTTAATCCAGGTGTCTATTGAGGTCAGTATAGATTAAGAGGGATTGAGTTTTGATTTGTGAAAGAGGTGAATGAAGAAAGAACAGGATACAGTTTGGAGCATAATACACCCTGAGGCATCAGATGTTGAGGGGATTTCATTGATGATAGGATTTAAAATGTGAACTGTGGCATGAGCTACTGATAGCAGGGAGGCATTCAGGAGCGGAGGAGGGTTGCAAAGGAGCGGAGAAGGACAACAAGGACAAACTCTGCCTGCCCTGCAGTTCTGCCTGGGTCCCTTGCAGCTTTACTGCACTAACAATCAGATCTTGTCAGGCCTTCATTGTCAGAAACAGGCCTTGGTTAGCATTTGAGGAAACTCACTGAAAAGCATGACACCAGGCAATGTGTGTTACCACCATGTGCTGCCACCACCCACACAGGAGCTGGAGTGAAACAAAGATGGAGGGCATGGAAGAAAGTTCCCAGGGATTTCTGCCTAACATCAGAACTCCTGTCTACCGCCATACTGCCCTGAACGCGCCCACTCTCATCTGATCTCAGAAGCTAAGCAGGGTCGGGCCTGGTTAGTACTTAGATGGGAGACTGCTTGGAAATACCAGGTGTTGTAGGCTTTCTAAAAGAAGGTTTTTTTAAAAAAAAGAACTCCTTCCCTGGCGTGAAGTCACAGCCATAAAATGGAGGTTATAATACTTAATTTTTTATCTGAGGTGAAGAAATAAGAGAAATAAGGAACCTTCTAGAAGGTCTTACAAAAATAACAGTTCTGAATTATGAACCAGTATTGAAACAAGATGACAGATGAAGAGGAGATGCAATGGGAAACAAGGATGAACCTTTCTGGAAGACAGATGGTCATAGGGTCATTCCAAACTTGCTTTCTGTGTGAATGAATTAGCAGACTACTTGATCACTAAGGTGTTTATGAACAAGGAGAATACTGATCTCAGGAAGATAACATATTGCAAGATGTTTCTACTGTGCAAAACAAAAAACGACCTTTAGGCTTAGAACTGCTTTAACTAGACCACACTTTTATAAGGAGAAAGACCTGATGAAGAGTAGTGTGGTTGCTTGTAGGCATCTTGTCTTCTTGCAATAAACAACAGTGGCACATAATTTACCTAAAATACTAATCATCTCAGGCATGTGCGAGCTTCTTTCATGCAGTCACTCAGTACCAGAGAATTGCAGTGACGTCTCTGGTAGAAATTTAAACTATTTACCCAGAAGGAGAGTAAAATATGCCTTTGTCTGTCTCATTTTCCCAACTATATATTAGTTTATGAATCAGAAAAGTTCAGAAACTTTATACTGAGAAATAGAAAATAGCTAAAATGTGAAACATAAAGTACCATTTCATGAGTCCTGTTCCTTTCTTATTTGAATATTGGGCTTAGGAAACATGATGAATTGTGTGGATATTTGCAGTCACTTAAAGGAGGGCCTGCCATCTCTGTACTACTGACATTATGACCTGAATAATTCTTTGTTGTGGGGCAGTCCTGGGCATTGCAGGATGTTCAACAGCATCCCTGGCTTCTACGCACTAGAGGCCAGTAGCACCCCCCAGCTGTGGCAATCAAAAATGCCTCCACACATTGCCAAATATCCCCCGGGGGTCAGAATTGCTCCCTTTGGGTACCACCAATCTAGAGGATAGCTCATTTTCTGTCTAACTCCTCTGTGGTAATAGGGGTAACATACCTCAGTCTCACTCAACAGAAATGAAACCCAACGAAGGAAGTAAACACAATGGTTATCATTAAGCAAAACCACATATCAATGAAGTGGATGCATTCCTTCTCCCTTCCTCCCACAAAACCCCGGCTGACCAAGGCATTTTCTCACAGAATGAAGACTGCCTACTTTCCCAGACCTCCCACAGGAAAGAAAAAACATGACAAAGAAAATTCATTATACACATATGAGCACCAGTTACAGAATCATCCCTTGTTACGAAACCTTTCCCAGAAGCTAAAATATTCTCTGCTGTTGAGTAAACCATACTGAATAGCAAATGAGAAAAGAACTCACTGTTTCCAGAAGAGGTTTTGTGGAATTTCGTCAGGTCAACATTTGGTGGTCTGTTGGGTTTTGGTGGAGGTGGACCCAAGGTAAATAAGGGAGGCAATGGCTTCTGCTTTGGGGTGGCTGAATTCTTGTCTCCCTTTTCCTTTTCCTGACTTTGGCCCCATGGCCCCCCGACTGTCAGCTTAGAAGGGGCCTTAGGGAGCCTGGCAGGAGGAGCCCCTGAGGCGGACTCTTCCTGATTGATTTTGCTCAGGAAGATGTTCTTAGCAGCATCTATCTTCCTATCTTCCTTTTTTTCTTCACCATTTCTGGAGAGGCCTGGGGCTCCTCTGCTCGCAGCAGGTTTCAAAACCACTCCGGGGAAGGGCGAACTTGAAATCTCCCCTGCATGGTCTTTATTTTCTGGGTCTTCCCTTGTTGGTTTTAAAGGGCCGCTTTTGGACCTGACTCCCAGGGGAGCTGGGGCCCCTTTTGATGGAGACACATTCTTTGCGGGGCTTTCGTCTTCATGGGAGTCCTCGGTGCTTAGGTGTGGCTTCTGGCCAAAGGCAGGTTTGGGGAAGAGAGGCTTGGGTTCCAGATCTGGTGATGCTGACATAAATTTCCCTTTAACCCCAGCCAATTTGGGAAACGCTGGCTTCTGTTCACTTTCCGGAGTTGGAGGAGTAGGCCCAGTTTTCGGGCCTGGTGGCTTTAGGTCATGGTCTTGGTTTACACTGTGAAGTAATGGCTTGTTCCCAGGAGGCCAGGGAAACGCAGGTTTGGAATCGTCTTTGGGCAAGTTGATAGGCTTAGGGCCTACAGGTTTCAGAAATCCCACTTTCGCCTCGGCGTCTCTGGTGGTTGAGTTGGCTGGTGTTCCAAATCTTGGGCCCGCTCCAGTGGGCTTTAGAAACGGGGGCTTGGGTTCCTTGTCAGGCTTTTCCTCAGAAGAAGGTTTGACTGCCACAGGTGGCTTTGGGGACCCAAACTTAGGTACGTTGCTGGGTCCTGCAGGAGGGCTGGCATTTCCTTGGTTGTTGAATAAGTTCTTTCTTGTTTGTATTCCTGAAGATGAGTTTGGCCCTGTGACTCTGAAGGGTCGGCTATTGACTGAGACCTCCTCTGTCGGGTTGCCCCCTGTGTTAAATTTCGCCATGAGGGACTTCACATCTGCTTTTCCATCCTACAAACATAGGGAACAAAAACTAGCTGAGAGACAGAAGTCTTACTCGCACAGTTTAAAATACTACACCTTAAAGAGCTTCCTGGTTTGAGGCTTGCAACGTTGCTGATTGGTTAGCAAGATATTGTAACATTTATCTTCCTTTCTGGTAAAATAAGTTGTGAGAGTTTCTTGAAAGGGAAGGGCTCTGCTTGTGCGTATACTTTTTCTTTTGGTCACCTCAGACTGACTTGCTTATTTTTGCTTAAGGAACAATCTTTTCTTTCTTCTCACTGTTTCTCTAGCTCTCATGTTGGATTTACTCTAACCTGGCATTATTTACTTTAGTTTTTTTTCTTTTTTTTTTGGTCAACAACCTTAAATTATTTACCTTTTAAAGTTTCACTTGAAAAAATATGGAAGTGACTAAAAGAAGACTTCTTCAATATTTTATAATTGAGATTCTTAAGTAGAAACTACATTTAAAAAATGAAAGTAAGTTCTGTAAATTGAGGCTGTGTGCTTTACACAGCATGGCTGTGTTTAACATATATCTCTGTGGTTTGCAAGTTTCTTTTCTTTTTTTTTTTTTTTTGCTTCTATCCACATTTAAGTTCTATTTCCTAACAGGGAGCGGTGGTGGAAAATCCTCACTCATTTTTATAAGTAAGTGATAAAATGGCTTTTCTACTTATTTGTAATTATATAGAACTAATGATTCACCTGTATCTATACTAGCAGGTGAAGTGTACTCACTTTCAGAATTGTTCTGTTTAGAGGCCATTGTCTGGAGGCACACAGGAAGAGAAGGAAGAAGTAATAAGGATGGGCTGTCAGTCTCATTTCCAGACCTTTCTTTCCACCGTCATCCTTTTTTCTTAGAGGTCCTTCTACTGGGTCTCCCCTGCTTGTCTAGAATTAAGGTATTACTTAGCAAAGATAATAGGCATTCACCATTCTCTGTATTTACCTGGGAAAATTAATGGTGTGTTTGCTCTTTGTCTTGAAAGCAAAGAGTTTAAAATTTCTAGTTCTTTTAGAAATATTTGAAAATTGGAGGCTTAAAATCACTGAAGTTAACCATGGGGCCATGACAACTTCCCTCTTCATGCTTTAAAATTCGTGCATAACGTGTTTTCTACTTCTCACCTGCTACCTTTCATTGCCCCATACCCAGGCACATTTCATCTTTCAAGGTGGAAAACCAGATTCCTTCTGCTGCAAAGGCTGCCTCCACCTCCTGACTCATGCATACTTCAGGTGCTTCCACAAGCCCCTATGTTATTTCCGCTTAGAATGATGAGAACTACCATTTAGTGGGGAGTAAATACATGTGCTTAGTTTTATATTATCCCATCTCATTCTTACAGTAGTTCTAAACGAATGTTGTTATTTAACTCCATTTCACAAGAAAGGAAAGTGAGGCTGGAACTACAGGAGGATGGCATGGCCAGAGCATGAGAACTGGGTTTAAATCCTAGTTCATCTGTGGGGCCTTAGTTGTATAATCTACATAATGGAGATAAGACATATCTGCCAGAATTGTCATGTCCCTTAGACATGGAATTTGTAAAATGCCTGTCTGGTGTACAATATGGAAATGCCTTGAATATGCTACCTAACAGTTCTAGGAACAGGGAGCACAGGCAGGGAAACTCGGGTGTGCCTGGGGCTCAGAAGCTCAGAAACTGTCTCATTTCTTTTTGTATTCCTGCATCACCTAGACCAGGGCCTGGCTCCCTCAGGGTTCTAATATATGCTTGGGGAATGAGGGCAGGCACTCAGGTGAATACTGTGCATAGTGATTTTACAAGAAATGGTGCCCTCAGCAAGAGTTTTTCTCAATACCAAACTATAGGGCGTGTGTATTTGCAGGGTGGGAGGTGAGGGGCTTAGACAGGAGCAGAAAAACTAACAAAAGCAGCAATTTCCAGCTTGAATTTTGTACATTTAATTTACCTCCCTTATCTGAGTTGTTGGAAACCCCTTGTTTTCTACCTTTCCTCCCTTTGCCACTTTTCTTTCTTTCTTTCTTTCTTTTTTTTTTTTTTTTTTTGACAGAGTCTCGCTCTTGTTGCTCAGGCTGGAGTGCAATGGCACGATCTCGGCTCACTGCAACCTCCACCTCCTGGGTTCCAGTGATTCCCCTGCCTCAGCCTCCCGAGTAGCTGGGATTACAGGCATGCACCATCACGCCTGGCTAATTTTTTTGTATTGTTAGTAGAGACGGGGTTTCTCCATGTTGGTCAGGCTGGTCTCAAACTCCCAACCTTAGGTGATCTGCCAGCCTCAGCCTCCCAAAGTGCTGGGATTACAGGTGTGAGCCACCATGGCTGGCTCCTTTGCCACTTATCTACCACCGCTGATTTTCTCCAATCCTCAAACAATCCCCGAAGGCAAGAGGCAGGAAGACAGCAGAATAAGGGAGAATTTGGGTGCTGGGGGAGGGAATAGGAAAGAATGGGTTCTTCCCTGAACCTTCAGGGAGATCAGAGTTGCAGAGGACCCCAAATGCCAGTACAAGAAACAAAATGGCAGAATTAATAACCAAAATTTGCCCCCTATCTGGAAGGAAGTCTGTCTCTGTGGAAGATGTCTTTTATTCTAGACTTAATTCCGTATCATATAATGTATACTGTAGGTTTAAAACAAGAGGCTGCATAGCAGCGTGACTAAGCATACAGACTTGGGAGCCAGGCAGCGTGGGTTTGAATCTTACTAGCTATTTAACCTTGGATAAAAGACATCAAAATTCTTTGGGTTTAGTTTTCTCACTTCCCTAATGGGAATGATAATGTCTAGTCATAGGGCTGTTAGGAAAATTAAGCAACTTCCTATGTGTAAAGCACTTTAAAGAGTACCTGGCACACAGGAGGATTTCTGATTTTTATAAATCAAGTGAAACGTTAGACATTCTCTAGTCCCTTCTCTCGCTGCATTGGTGAGGAAATGGAAAGCAAGAGTTTTAAGTGGTATCCTGCTTATGTGACAACTTGATGTCTTGGATTTCATGGGGGAAAACCCATGAAATACCCTAACCCCCATTCAAACTCAATGTTCTGGTTTTGGTTTAGAAAATATGAAAGTGGTAGATTTGGATTGGAACATAAGTCCCTCAGCTGCCAACCCAGACCCAGGAGGCAGTGCAATGTCAAAGTGAATAGCACAGGCTCTGGGGTTAGAACTTGAGTTCAAACCTTGACTTTGCCTCTTTACTAACCACGTGATCTAGCAAGGTACTTCTCTGAGGCTCACTTTTCTTCATCTTTAAAGTGAGAATAATAACAGTACCTATAGCTCACAGGGTTTTTGTTTTAAAATAAGGATTAAACGGGCAAATGCATGTAAAGTTCTTAGATAAGAATTGCATGTAATATCTATCTAATAATTATCTGCCATCTCTGTTTTTCTAATTCAATAGTCACAAAACATTATTTTCTCTAGGTGACCAAATTCTGAAGTTACAATCATTAATGTTATGTCCTAATTTTAAATTAAAGTAGCTAGAACTAACATACTTCTGAATAACATAGTAGAGTTGTGATATTTAAGTTTGGTTTACCTACACTGTGAGACTTTTCACTGGATGCTGAAAAACAGGGAAAGAAGGAGCAACAAGTTATTATGCAGGACATCTTAGAGCCCCTTAGCCACTGATATGTCTGGCAAATCAGTAGCCTGAACTCTGCAACTATCTAATCACTAATATTGGTTTCTTAGCTTTAGAGGCTGTTTAATACATTTAGTAGATGCGATTTCTAACACCCAGACTCACCCTTAATAGTAACAATAATAGGTAGATTTTTTCTTTAATCATGATAGAAAAAGCAAAAATGATTTTCGAAATGGACATTCTCTCATTCTGATTTCATTGTAGATTGAATATCTTTTCAATTCTCTAGTACTTTATTTTTTTTTTTTTTAATTAAAAAAGGGTAGGGGTAATATATTCTTGGGCGATAGAGTGAAAAGGAAGCCTTCTACAACTCCTTAACTTAGTTCCCCAGTTCTAGAATAGGCTGACAACCTGATTTACCAGTACAGTATGAGTTTATACCTGTTTTTCTGGAATAATGTTTAGCAATGTTCCTTTTTAATCTCAGAACTGATCTTCCTTAAAGAATAAACTACATGGTGACCTTCCCTAGTTCTCTTTAGAGGCAATCACTGTCACTAGTTTCCTATGTATGTTGCTAACCAATGCATATGCAAGCATAAACACACACTTATTCACATGCATACATCCTTCCTTCTCTCGCTTTTCACACAAATGGGAACATCTACTCTGCATCTTGCTTTCTCCAAGGGCTGATATTCAGTAGATATACGTCAGGTAAGCTGGATGTATGATCAGCAACCATTTGGATTGTTTGGTACACATGCCAATTCCAGTTGTTAAATATTTTCAATATTAACCCCACTTTCTTCCCTTGCCAGTTGGACCATATTGGTGGATGTTATTTGCAGAACCTTTTTAACTCTTAATGATATCAAGATTGGGCTTCTACTTATTCATCAGAGGAGGTATTTCACAATCTGGAAGACATCAGAGTTTATGATATTTTAGTAAAACAAAAATTTCATTTGCAATTTCTTTTCCAAAGCCATTCGAAGAAATTTGTTATTATTTCCACCTGCTATGTATCTATATAATGCTTAGTCCAGGCTACTCACAAACGTTGCTCACAAACACAGATATAATAGTAGAAAACCTCTTATAGAAATTAATTTCTGTTAGCCCCCATATATTTTGCTTTTCCTCAGAATTATATAGCTTCAATGGTACAAACTTCTACATTTGCCACAGACCTTGGGAAAATGTCTGTTAATAAAAATGCTGTTGTTACATCCTCCGGATTTCCAGTTAACAAACCTAGTTTTCAGAAAATCATTTTCAGTTTTAGCAATCTACATAAAAGTAATGAACCAAGTACATAGTCAAACAAAGTCTGAGATGGAATGAAGGATAGGCATCCCATCTTTCTGTTCTAGAAAGAAAATAGTCCCCTTTGTAGGCAGTTCATTTACATAGTTTCATGCAGAAAGCTAAAAATATATTATCTCTATTATTGGGAACAGGATTTTGTTTTGTTTTAGTTTTATTGTTATATTACTCATGCTTTAAAATATTTCTTGGATATTATGCTAATCTAGTGGTTCTTAACGGGGGGCAATTTTCCCCCCAGGGGATGTTTGTCAATGCCTGGAAGCATTTTTGACTAAAATGACCAACCAGAGAAGGGGTTGGGGCCGTTCCACCAGCAGCTGGTGGGTGGAGACCAGGGATGCTGCACATCCTGTCCTGCAGGAGAGCCTCCCACAAGAAAGAATTATCAGCCCCAAATGCGGATAGTGCCAAGGCTGAGAAACCCTGAGCTAATTCTATTGCTCTTGAATTACTGAAATTACCTTATCAGAAAGTCTGCCTTTAATTTTTTTTTTTAACCAGAGACTACACACTAAAACCTACAAATAACTGTACAGAAACTAAATGATGTAAAAAGGCCACTACCAGCAATGGTTTTTAAAGTTATCCACCTTTGAAAGTCTCATCGTTAGAATGTTCTTTAAAATACAAAAGAAATAACAGTTCCATAAATCATCAGTAACTAATGAATTTAAAATGAATTTGAAGCCAGATTTTACCTCCGTAACATGTGTTTGCATCGCTTTTGCAATTAAAGCAAGAGGAGAATGAATCACTGCTGTGTCTGCTGTTACTATTCCCTGTATAAAGCCCATCAAAAAAGGGAGTAAAATGACTTCACTTGATTGCATGTAATGCTTCTAATCATGAGGGAGGCAGTAAATGAATAACAACAGTTTACCCAAATCAGTTTTTCAAAAAGTCTTTGATAAATTTTTACCATATGTGGAGTTTCTTTGTTTTTATGTTGAGATAAAGTCATTTG